TCAGTCTGAAGTTTTCTCAACAGAGAATGTTGTTAATGCAATTAATTAATGGATTGATACTTGTAAAGTGATTAGTACAGTGCCTGGTATATATTTAGGATCCAATAGAAGTTAGCTGTCATCATTGTCACTGTTACCTTTTTATTATTTAGAGTTTATTGTGAATCTATAGAAGAAAAATTATATACAGTCATGCATTGCTTAACAATAGGAATATATTTTCTGAAAACTGCATTAGGGATTTCATGGTTGTGCAAAAGCCATAGAGTATAATTATACAAGCCGAAATGTTACAGCCTAATCCATACAGAGACTGAAGGGTCTGGTCTGTTGGGACTATCATGATATATGTGATCCATCATTTACAGAAATGCCTTTAAATGAAGAATGATTGTATTAAAGATGCATTCAGATTTTTCTTTGTGGTTTGTACATTGGTTTCTTTCTAGGTTGGTTGGGAATGAAAACACTGCTTATTAAGTTCAGATTAAGTCCAATGTAAAACTGTGATATACAGGAAATTTTTATTGTTGAATTTTTTATACTGAAGTGGAAAATGTTGAGACAAAGCCTCACTGTAGACTGAAAGTTCCAGGGAGTAACTGATAAATGTTCTCAAGGCCACACACCTGACTTACAGCCGATAACCACTTAGGAATCTCCTGCTTCTGTATTCCCTGCTTGCTTCAAAGTGTAAATGGGCCCCTGCTTAGGCAATATGTACTATGTTCCCTAATTGCTCAGGGCTCAGACTTTGGAGAAAGATCTCTGGGCCTGCCAGCAAAAATAAAGATCTTCCTTCCTCCTCTCTGAGTGCTGCCTGGTTCCCTAGCGGAATCCTGCCGTAACAATACTCAATTTTGGAAATTTAACTAATTCATCTACGCATAGTCGAGGTCCCTGTGGCTCTTCAAACTTTTTCCATTTCTTAGTACCAGTTCCTCATTCTATTCTTTCAGGGTTTGTTCTTTCTTATACGGGGGGGTCCAGGAGATCTCTGAGAAATTTTTCAGTGATTGAATATTAAAAAATGGTAATTGGGCTGCTGGTGGGAGTGCAAACAGGTCCAACCACTATGGAGAGCTGTGTGGAGATTTCTTGACCTACTAAACATAGGGCTTCCATATGATCCAGCAATTCCACTCCAAGGTATTTATCCAAATGACACAGAAACATTAATTCCAAAGGGCACCTGCATGCCTATGTTTATAGCAGCACTATTTACAATAACTAAGCTATGGGATCAACGCAAGTGCCCAAAAATAGATGACTGGATCAAGAAGATGTGGTACATATACACCATGGAATATTACTCAGCAATCAAAAAAGATACACATGCAGTTTGCAGCAACATGGATGGAGCTAGAAGGGATCATGCTCAGCGAAATAAGTCAGAAAGAAAAAGAAAAATACTGGATGGTCTCACTCATGGCAGGAATTTAGAAAACTTAAATAAGAGACCAGGAAAAAGACTAATCAATACAAAGTAAAAATCAAAATCAACAAGCAACTATAAACCAGAGACACACTATGGGGGTAGGGAGAGGAAGGACTAGAGTCAAAATAAGGGGGGGAGGTGCAATTGTATGGGGAATATAACCATAATGAAAATGCATACATTATGCAAATATGAAAAATGATGTAAGAATTATATAAAATAAAATATTTAAAAAAATGGTAATTGGGTAAGAATAAATACCTTCTCTGTTAGCAATTTGTAACTTTAACAGTAGAATTGATCAGCTAGACAATGTTGGAGTGTGGATTAGAATAGAAGAAATCTTCCCTACCACCTTATAGCCCTGATCAAACATCCACCCCCATGGTTGTCTTATAGGGTTCCTCCAATTCTCACTCCACTTATTTGTTACCCACCCATTCAATATTGTCTTCAGCCAGCCCTATGCTTTAGATTTGACGTACACCACTTAGGCCCAATTTCTTGAAGGGTACCATGGATTAAAAAATTATATTTTGGGTCTCCCCGGTGGCACAGCAGGTTGAGCGCAGCACTGTGAATCTGTCCGCAGCCTCTGCAGTGCCGGTTTGATTTCCGACAGCCAAGGAGATACCCACATGTTGCGGCAGACCTCTCCTGTCACGCCCGCTGCTCCCCTCAGCAGTGTATTTCAGTCACTCTGCCTTCTTTGTTCCCCACTCTGTCTCTGATGAGTCCTCTCACTCCCTGCATCTCTGGCCTGTACCACAGTTATTGTATAAAAATAAATAAATCTTTAAAAAATTATATTGTCTTTTGATTTACTGCTGTTTTCTCACTCTCAGTTATTTCAACGGGATTAATCAGGAGAAACAATCTGCAGAGTAGTGTTAGGACTCACAGCAGCCTGTGTGGTTCTCTTCCTGTGAAACTATTTAAATAGCTTTCTTCACACCCTCTGAAACTATGGTAGGAAGGACAGACTAAAACCTGGGAAGGCTGGTGTTTCGCATGCTCATATCCATAAATGCCAAGTTCTACCTCTTTTTCTATTTTGTTTGTCTTCTCTCCTTTCTCCAAGCAGGTAGGGATCCGTGTGCCCTTTCCTACCCCCACTCCATCCCTACAGAAAGTGGATTCTAATGATTTGATGGGGAGATGTAAAAAGTATTTTGAAGGTGTCTCCCTGGTGGCCTAGGGGTTAAGTCTCAGTACTATCATCACTATGGCCTGAGTTCAAATCCCCTCCAGGGAGCTAACCCACGTAATATGCAGCAGACCTCTCTGTCTTGTCTGCTCCTCCCCTTAGCAGTGCATTTCAGTAAATCTGCCTGTTCTGCTCCCCACGTTATCTCTGGTGAATCCTCTTATCCCCTGCACCTATGGCCTATACCCCAATTCTTCTAAAAACAGAAAGTACTTTGAAGAATAATGTCTTGCTGTGAGCTCTGTTGAAGGGATTTCTTCAGGTGATTAAGGTAGAAAAATGACTGTCAATATGACAGAGGAGAATACTTGTAGTGTGAGATTATGAATCGCAGTGTAAATCAGAGAGTAGTTACCACCCTGTAATTTCTTGAGAGGATTTGTTCAATAGCATTCATCATCTCTATTTCTCTAGCACCTATTCAAAGGCTGGCTCCTCTGATGGACTTAATAATTTGAGATCCATGTAAAATGAACAGGAGTTACTTAGTGGATTTTCATAGGAAAACCAGAGGTAAAAATGGTTAGGGAAAGAATGGTTAGTGCTTGAGAGAGGGAAAAAAGGAAGGCAGACAGTAAAAGCAAAAGATTTTTATCTAAGATTGTTTCCACTGAAAGCTTTTCCAGTAAATATGTTCTATAATTGTCTTAAATGTGGTATTCAAAAGTGATAATTCCTTTTAAGTAAAAAAAAATTACACTTTTGAAAATGCTTTACTAAATGCAATAAACTGAAGTACAGAAAATTGAAAGTCTTATTAAAAAAAAAAATACTGTGTGTCTATTTAGTTGTGTTCCCTTGCTGTATATGCAAGAGTGTGGAGCAACAGTCCTTCTTGTAAATCTGAATTCCTAAGGCAAACATCAACACTCTGGGGAAGGTGGGAAGTGCTTTCTTATAAAACTCTGAGGATCAGCTACTTAATATTAACAATCCCTTTTTATTCCTTTGAACAATGTTGCTAGTAGCTATCTATACAACTCCATGGAGGCTATTTCCAAGCCAATACTGGAAAAAAGTTGCAATAACAGGGAGGTGTATTGAACCTTCTTAACACAGGGTTGGCAGCTCAGTAAATTGAGGACTGTAAAGGAAAAGAATAATAAGAAAAAAAGGAGATCCACTAAGAAGACCACTAGTTATGTCTTATTAAAATCACCCTTTGCCCTAGTTTATTCTTTTATTTCCTTCTTATAATAACCTCTTAATTTTTCTTACTTTTTTGTCTCTCCTTGAATATTAAAGAGATACCATCAGTGTGTGCATATTTTTTAAAAAATATAAATCTATGTGAATGTGTACATACACACACTGTATATTTACAGATATGTTTATGTATACACATATACATATATCAATGTATATATATTTCTCATTGGGAGTAAAAAAACCTAAGTATTACTGATTGTAGTTTCCTTATTCTACTTTTTTTTTAAAAGATTTATTTATTTATACATACAAGAACTGGGGTACAGGCCAGATGTGCGGAAGGGTGAGAGGATTCACCAGAGACAGAGCAGGGAACAGAATAGACAGGCTGACTGAAATACACTGCTGAGGGGAGCAGCAGGCGAGCCAGGAGAGGTCTGCTGCACCATGTGGGTATCTACATGGCCGGCCGAGATCAAACCCGCACTGCAGAGGCTGCAGACAGCTTCACAGCACTGCGCTTAACCACCTGCGCCACCGGGGAGTCCTTCTTATTCTACTTTTTAAGAAGTATTTCAGCAAGTACTTTGTCAGTCTTTCTAGATAGAACAATCTTTAACCAAGAACCTAATTTGAGTTCTGACCCAAGTTATTACCTCCGAACTTCTCTTTTCTTAATGCAAGTAAGCAGTCGTGGTTAAGAAGTATATCAGGTTCAGGACTAGTCTCCTTTCTTTCTGATCTACACTGTGTAAGAGGCAAGTGGCATGTCATGTACAGGGTAATAAGCTTTAAGCCATACTGTGCAGACAGCACAGTATTTGAAAGCATCACATATAAAATAAACTGATTTTAACCATACTACCTACTTTTTAATGGCTGATAATACTTCAATTTACTTGTTAGTCTTCAGCTATGGGGCTATAGTTGTCAAGGTATTTGCAGAAGTGACCAATTAAAGCGATGGAAATCTTTTATCTTAGAATGATATTTTTTCTTTTAAAATTTCTCCCTAAAAATCATTGTTGTCAGAAGGCCACTATCTTCCCTGATTTAGGCTAAATTTAAGTGTTACAATGGATGGGTTCGTAGAGATGGTACATGTACAGGTGGTACATAATACATGTTCTCCAAACATGTAGCATGAGAAGCAACTCCTAGATTTTGGAAAGAAAGGAAGGAAAAAGGGCAAGAGTCAACCACATTGTCCTGTTTGAGCATGCACATGTTTTATTTAAGTATTTCCAAAGGTCTATTTTTTTTTTTCAGCATAATGCAGTTATTATGCTATTCTTTGAAATAAGATATATGAATTTCAAACAAAATTGTCAAAAACAATGACCTTGATTACTCCATATGGTACACAGAAATAATTACATTTCACTTACAATACAGATGCACTTAACACAGTCATCAATAGTCATTCACCACCGACACAGTATATTCTTAAATCACCTAAACACCAAAGTATTTTTTTCTTTTCCAAAAGGCTAAAAAAATTAATAGTTTTTGATAAATGATAAGTCAAAAAGGAGACTGAATTGTCAACTGAAATAATCTAACTGCCTTTTAAAAATGTAATATTATGAACATGAAAATAGAACTTCTCATTGGGAATCAAAAGAGCTAAGTATTCCTGATTGTGGTTTCCTTAGTCTACTTTTTAAAAAGTATTTCAACAAATGCCATCAAAGTTGTTTCACTATATATTTGCTCTAGAAGCATAAAGTGACATGAGGCAGGTGTTAAAATATAATTGTTAATATTCACGCTCCAGGAAGATTAGTAACTTTTTAAAAGACACACTAGGAATAAAGCCAGTTCTTCCCTAGAGAGAGTAGAATTTATCTTACTTTCACTCAGCAAATGTTTATTAAGACCTACTGTGTGCACAGCACTGTTCTAGAAGCTATTCTAGAAATGGGAAGCAAGAATTTCTGGCTTTGCTTGAAAATGGTTGGATTAATTCCTTTTTAGGATAAATTATGATAAGCATTAAAAAATCTCTACAGTAGAGGGATAATTATTAACTCTTTCCACGTACTGAAGTTAACTTGATTCCTTATAGTGGTGGTTTGGAATGAACAAGACTTTTCATTTGACATAAAACTTTATTACACTGTCACAGGCAGATATGTCTGCTAATATATTTTAAAGGTGAAAAGGTATAATAAAGACTTTTCAATTAAATGTACATGGAGATCAACTTAGCATCATCAAACTCCTGTCTTCCTTAGTAGAGAAAACTGCTCCTTGTAATCACAGGACCCATTGTGAGATAAATTTGTGCTGCCTTCCCCCATAGTGTAGAAAGCAAGCTTTCATTAAATATTGCTACATAGAGCACTCCAGTTTATCTCTGCATTTCAATTCACATTAGTTATTCTCAAAATGTATTTGAGATCTAAAGAAAAATAAATAATACATCAAGTGAGATTCTGGGATCATTGATCCTATGATATTAGTCCCAGCCAACTCTTTTCATGACATGTAGTGATATATCCAGTATCTGGGCTGTTCCATAACAGCAAAGAGGTTAGAGATAAATCATAGATGTCAACTCCTTTTTTTAAATTTTGGACTAGGGGATTGATGATGATAATCTACTTATAAGATACTTTGTTGGGGAATACAAAAGTAGGAAATTCATTTGAACTACAAAACTAGTCCAGTTGATGACGGTAAACCCAATAGAAAGGAGCTATAGAAATACAGGAACAAAGAATGCACTGGCACGGAAATACAGAAGACTAAACGATATTACTGAAAAACATTAATGGCACAATAGTTTTGGATTAAAAAGTTATCTAAAACCTGGCCACACCAGAAGCTTGTGTATGGATGTGGCTCTTACTGTATCTATGAAGATCTGAAAAATACAACAACAAAAGGTTCTGATGCCTGATACAACAGGTGTACAATGAATTATTGCAGTTGTAACAGTATCTAGGTGCAAGATAAAACGATAATTAATACTGAACTATCCGAACACTTTAGATTTACTAATGAGCATCCCCATGAAAAACACTGTGGTTCTAAAAGGAGTTTATTTGCACAGCCCACCATGAACATGAACAATCAGCTTGTTGTAAGTGCACAGAAATTCCCCCTTTCTACAGTTATAGTTTATCATGCCTATTCTGAAGACAACATAAGGAAACTGAGATCACTGCTCCAAAGAATTCTAGCATGCATTAGGATGGTTTCCTTCAGTCAGTACAAATGTGCTGTATGAGTTTTTTAAATGTACTAATCTTCATCACTGCCAATGTTCATGGTTTTAACAGGAAAAATTTTTATCAAAATGTTTTCCATAATTTTTTTTTGTTTTGCATTCAACTGGAACATGATGTCCAAAGATTTATTTTATTAATTTTATTACAAAAGAGTTCTGGTCATAAGAAGCATCAGTAGGTGGCATTTCAAGGTGCTCACAGAAAGTCCTAGGGCCACAGACTCTTTCTCTGCATAACAGCTCACACTTGGTCTCGAAATGCCATTGGGTGGTTGTGTTTCCATCCTCAAGTTTGGAAGCTTTGTTTTTGTTTCACTACCAACCTTCTTGCTTTGCTGTTTGTATCTGCAAAGAGTTTGTTTTTTTATTCTTTCCTCCACGTTGGGATTCTTTCCAGGCCGAGGCTCAAATTCTCTTAGACTATTTTCCAATCGTCTTATAAAGCAGACACTCTGACAATATTCCCTCCTGAGTACTCAGGGGATTCTGGCCTGTCATCTCCTTCGGGGGTGGTTACTGGAGGTGTTGGGATGCTTATTATTGCTGTAGTCACATAAGGTTGTTCACAGTTTAGTTTAACACACTCTTCCATTTTGGCATTTAAACTGGATCGGCTGATGAAGAAAAAGATAGATTTAAGAAAGTAAGTTGTCTATGTAAAGAAACTTTTTCCCCTATAAATGAGGAATAGCCTTCATGTTTATAAATGTTTAAAATGTCTAACAACAATTACCATGACTTTTTAAAAAATAAAACACCAAAAATATGTTAACATTGACATACATAACAAATATATATGCTAATGTTAACATTAGCCATGTCATTAGCAACAAATAAATGCAAAAAAACCAGCATAGTTTGGTTCAATCAGTGTTTCTCAAAGTGTTTTCTAAAAAAAATGCAAGAAAGAGGATCAGGGAAGTTCGGGAGAAACCTGGGTTGAGCAAAGTAAAATGGTTTTGTTTAAGACAGAACCACTGAGGGCCTCCCCGGTGGCGCAGGGGTTGAGCGCTGGGTTGCGAAGCTGCCCGCAGCCTCTGCAGCGCTGGTTCGATCCCCGGCTGCTCCCGGCCACCAGAGGAGGGTCCCACATGGGGTGCAGACCTCTCCTGTTGCCCGCTGCTCCCCTCAGCAATGTACTTCAGTCTGCCTGCTCTGCTCCCCGCTCTGGCTCTGGTGAATTCTCTCATCCTCCTGCGTTTCTGACTGTACCCAGTGCTTGTATAAATAAATAAATAAATAAATAAATCTTAAAAAAAAAAAAGACAGAACCAATGAGAGGATTGAGACACAATTATGAAAGGGATAGATGCTATGAATTTCTCAATTCTTTTGATCACAGAATCTTTCTAGTATCTTGTCTCAATGGGACATATGCTGCCCTTAAAGCTTTCAACTTAGTGACAGCCAAATGTTAAGAACCCCCAAAAGTTAGTCATTACTATCTATTACTTCAAGGTTTTCCCAAGTGTTATTACTGTGTGAGTTTTATCCCCATAGAGGGAGGGAGAAAAGAAAAATGAGCAAGGAGGTTATGCAGAGAAGCTTAAAACTATTTTATTTTCATGAAAAACTTAAAAGATTTTCTTTTTAAATACTTCTCCTTTTCTGTTTCATTTGGAGTGGATATAAAATAGCACAGAGGCAGACTATCTTCGAGATGGAAACTTTTCTTTGCTCCAAAAGTTAATATTCTGGTCCTAGAGACATCAATTTATAAACCAACATAGCTTGAATTAAAAAATCTCATCCAGATTTTCAACAAAAATTGTTGAATTTGAGCAAAGAAGTAGCACTGGATTAATGAATTGTCAATCTCAAAATATAATGATTTAACTTGAAAATAAAGAAAAATTATCTTGGCAATAGCTAACTTTTTGATCACTTACAAAATTTAAATGTACCTTTTTTTTATTACATGTATACATTTGTGATAAAAACAAATTGCAAATGAATAAAAGCAAAGGGAAAACACCAATAGAAAAATTTCACTTAAATTGTCTATAAACCAATAAGAGGAAAAAATTTTAGTGTTTCACTAATCTTTTTTTTTAATTGGTTTGATTTTTGTGTTTATTGTGGCCCCAAAATATGTTTATGATCAAAATTGTATATTGAGTCAAAAGATTTTTGTGGGAAATAGTTTTATTTTTTACTGTTAGGTTGAAAGTGTTGATATATTTTTAGGTTCCACTGAATACTTTTCAATCATATCAATGCCAATTTAATTTGCCTCTTTTTGCTGGGCTGACTATCATTGCAGGCTATTGGTGTTTACATCAGGGACTCCTGAGCACAGAGGTCTTTGTGAAAATAGGAAAAAAATGTGGAGTTGAAGAGGTAGGCATCTGTGAATGCCTGACCGCCTTATCTTCTTTTACTTTGTTAATACTGATACCGCTACTTCTTTTGACTCTGGATGAATAAGTAGGGGATCCATTTTCCTACTTGTTGCAGTATCAGGTTTGTCTCACTCCAAACCAAGGAGGAATTAGGATTTAGATGCCACGGAGGCAGCAACATGGCTGGGGTGTAGACGATGCTGAGAAGCTGCACAGGTGTGCGGTCTTAGTACCTGTTAGATAGTGGGGTTCTCTCCACACATCTGATCTGAATCGTACTGAGTTCTTGCACACTACCTCGGTGGCTTCCAGATACGTTGGCATTTGGAATGCGGAAAGTTTTTTTGTGTCGCCGTGAACAACAAGTGCTGGTGACTCCTTGTTGTGAAGAGAGAGACGGACTGTGGCTTGAAGGACGATTAACAGTTGCAACTTCCATGCAGCTTTCTTCAAAGACTTGTTCATCCACAAACTCGTGATTCTGTTCCACAGTTGTAAGAAAATGTGAAGAAAGCACAGAAACACATTTTAAATTTAAACAAGGGAATGAATAACTTTATTTTTAAGACTTGAATATGCCACATACATTTAGACTCTCCACTGGGTAACTAAAACCATTTTCAAGATGATTAGAATGTCAAAGCCACCTCAACACAACAAATGTTGGCATTTGTGTGAAAGCAAAATTTCTTTGGTTAGACCTCAAGATTGACATGTGCAGGCTGATTTAGACTCCATTTATAGACTATTTTGAAATAGCACTTATTAATTTAAACACAAAGGCTGGAAGTTACATGCTAAAGGGGAAAAAAACCCTTTGGATATGAATATAGATAATACCCACAGGGAATGTGTAAATGCATATTGACGTTTATTTTTTAAGCAGATGAAGTTATGGAAGAGACTATTTTAATTGAATGTCCCAAGTTAGCTTGTCTGTTTTATATTAGCAGATGTTTTTGTTAGGGGGAAAAGGATGTCCTAAAGCTAATTCCATACAGGCTTTGTGGACTCTGCCCCAACTTGAGACCAAAGGCAAAAGACATTGGGAACTACTAATCCCATCACCACCAAAGGGAAGGTGGCTGGGACCTGAGGGTGGGGTTAAGCAGCCAGGTTGGTATAAAGCCAGACACATGGCTTTGGGGGAATTCACCCATTTTGGCTCCCCGCCAGCTCACAGCTTCTGGCCAGCTCTGAGAGTACCTTTGGGTCTCTGGGTTGGCGGATCGGGTAGGACACATTAAAGACTTTATTTCCCTATTTTCTCCCTGAGCTGTACATTTCCTCAATTCCTTTTCCCTTGTAAATTAACCTTTTATTAACCTTTTGTGTGTGCCTGTAGTGGAGTATTAATAAGTCCCTTTTTAAGCGCGCGGGTGAGGACCCACTGCCAGGCAACCCGTTTTATATAGGGGCTGCTCTGTAACAGTTTCATCTGGGAGAGAAAATATTTTTTAATTAGCAAATGAGATAAGAAAGACACTTCCCATTTCTTTAGAAGGTCCTACAAAGTAAGATTTATTAGTCAAATAGATGAAATACGTTTATCTGCAAAATGTGTCACTTTATGTTGTCCCTGAGGGGCATAGCACTGAACTTCTGATGACACCTTTTCTTGTCTGTGATTCGACACTGGCTGGACTCCTCATTTCTGCCCATATTTAGAGTTCTTTTAGTTGCAATGCTCGGGATCATCTCATATATCCTATCTTAGAGAAACAGGGTAAATTTTGTAGATTTTTTGGTAAAGAATCAGCTCCTAAAATGTCAATGCAAGAATTTTACCTCAGAAACATAAAGGAAAACATTTTTGGCCTGAGCTACCAGGCAATGGACTCCACTACTTTTTCCTTTGTGAGGGCAGAGTCTTTCAATGGAAGTCTTAGCATATGCTGATTTGCACGCAGCTATCTCTCATCCTAAAATATTAGCAAAACAATTGAAGCAATTCTCTGGCTAAAAGCAAATAGATGGTTTTAGTTACTTACTTCATCATTTCTTTGCTGAGACAAGCATTTTGAGGTAATGAAATTTAGCATTCTACTGTTTAGAGACCAGAGAATAATGTCATCAGGTAAGATGGAATTTCACATTAAATATTATTTTATAGAAAAATGCATAGTTCACAAAGAACTCACATGTTTTCTTCTCTTACACTGCATATTTCACACAAACAAGACAAGTTATGAAGAGATTAGATTCTAACTTATCTCATTAGTGACTGGAAGTGAAGAAGTCATTTTATTGCTGGTTATTATGTATTTTTGAAGGTAGCTCAGTTTAGGTTGCTCAATTGAAACTACATTAATTAGTGTTAATGTTTGATTAAATTGTAAAATAGTATAAAAGTGAAAATGAAAGTTAGGGATAAATACATCCTATTATTAATGTTATCATTTAACTTTCAAAGAGATATCCTAATAAGTTAAAGACCTTTATTTAAAAATGCAAATATAATCATATAATTTTCCTGTTTAAGCCCCTCAAAATAAATTTTCCAGTTGTTATGAGATAAGGAACAAAATTCTTCACTTATCTCTAAAGCTTGCCATGGTCCAGCCCTGCATTAGAGTCTGCCTGCTCTTGTGTCATATTACAATTTCTTCTGACACACTCAACTGCCTTCATCCCTCTTAAGCCAAGTCCAAATAGCCTTCCCTTAGGTGCCACTTCACCTTTCAGCCCCTTCATTTCTTTTCCTATGTATCTCCTAGTCATCCTGTGGGTCTCAACTCAGAGTTCCTCCACGAAGCCCTGTCTGATGCTAAGACACTGTCCTCTCGGCACACTCTGCATGAGTAATACACTCTGCATGGTCCAGGCAAAGGGGAAGTTCCAGGTTCCCTGCCCCACCCAAAGGAGGGTGGAGCTGAGCAGGAAGGAGAAGCTGGAGAGGAGACTGGGGAAGGATGAAAGCAGGATGGAGAGGGAGAAGGAGACCTGGAGGAGGCACATGGAGCAAAGAGACATGTGAAGAAACTGCACTTGCTTCTTGGTCGTGGACTGGTTGACACAGATGTGGGTGAGAGACCCCTGGGGAGATTAACAATGGCAGCTTTTACTTTGATTTTGATTTTGCTCTTTTCCTCCCAAACTTGTCTGTCTGTTTCTACCCTTTTCTATGGGTCCCCATTGGAAGGTGTTTCAGACTTGTGGCAGAATTTCGGGCCTTGCTCTGGGCCAATCCTGTTTGGTGGACTTTTGCCCAACGAGGGAATGGGTAACTGGGTGCTTGATTTAGAAACTACATTTTTTGTCTTTTCTGTATTGTTTACTAATTGTATTACAATTCTTTTCCATTAAAGGTCTTATATGTTTTGTCTTTATGTGGTAGATGGCAGAAACTATTTAGAGCAGGCAGATTTGGGGATTCTGGGGTACCCTTCTCCCTGCCCTGTAACAAAAGAAGACATGAGTGGGCAGCTGTTGGAAATGAGAATACAAATATGCATCTCTTGTGAGCGAGTGAAGAGACTTGATTCAAATATGGTGAAAGTTTTGTTTCTCATAAGTGGAGAAATGCAGACTCCTATCTCAACTCCAGGGGGCATGCCAGTATTTAGATTTGTTGTTTTTCTTATGAGAATAAATAGGTTTTATTATCTTTGTTCATAATACCTGTGAATGAAAGAAATACTTAAGATTAAGTTACTGTCTATGTTTTTGTTATTGCTATTAATATTACCTTTATCCAGATGTCAGGAGCACTTGAACATCATGACTTTTTCTGTTTAATCAGCAATTTAAGAATCCAGGGGGAAATGATACTTTAAAGGACTTGCATTCAGCAGTGGGAAGACAACTTTTTGTCTGCGTTAATTTAATATTTTGCATGAGAATTGCAACAACCACCAAGGACAAAAGCATTTTAAATAAGTCTCTGAAATACTTTCCAACTTGAAAAGTCACTGGAGTCTTTTAGAGTAATTTAAAATATAGTGAATTTTTCTGACTCCTTGGTTTTTGGCATATTTTGTAGTAATACAGACAGTGAAATCATGCTTGGAAGCCCTAAGCATTCAAAAAGCAAATGGGGTTACTGTCTAAGGACAGTGGCAGGCAGTCAGGCCTGCTTCCTTACCGTGGTTTTTTCCAGGCAGTGAAGCAGGTGGTGGTGCTGGGTTTCAAAGCTGGAGCCGGATTTGCTAACAAAGGCCTGCTCATCCTCGGAGGACTGTTAATACAGAGAAGAGAAGAGATTTCTATTTTATTTTCCAACAATGAGAACCTTAGCCACACATTCTGACAGAGATCTGGCCTATTTCCTGAGATTAAATGGCAGCATTTTTTTTTTTAAACTAAAACAGGGCAAATGTGCATTGCTTTTAAGTTTGCCTATCAGCATTTGCATTTTCATCACATTATTGTTTGTCTTTTAGATTTGTTTCCCTAAACTGAAAACTGAAATCTCTTTTACTCTCATTCAACTACTGACTATCTCTGAAAGCCTGGGAGCCATTCTTTTTTTTTCGATAATAACTTTTAGCCTACTACTTAGATAATTCTGAAATCACTATCATGCTCACCTACATAAAAGGTATTTTATAAGAGGATAGAATCCTAAATACTAAAGGGAAGTTTTTTTATTTTTTAAAGATTTATTTATTTAGTTATACAAGAACCGGGGTACAGGCCAGATTTGCAGGAGGGTGAGAGGATTCACCAGAGACAGAGCAGGGAACAGAACAGGCAGACAGACGAAATATACTGAGAGGGGAGCAGCGGGCGAGACAGGAGAGGTCTGCCACGCCATGTGGGACCCTCACGGGCCGTCCAGGATCGAACCAGTGCTGCAGAGGCTGCGGACAGCTTCACAGCGCGGCACTCAACCTCCTGCACCACCAGGGGAGACCCGACTAAAGGGAAGTTTTGAGGTAAAAGTAAAGTTTCTCAAATTGTATTTTATACCCTCTGACCTTTATCACACTAAATAGGGTTCCCTCTCCTTTAAGAAGTAAAACAAGATATCATGTCATCTTTATCCCCCCACCCAAACTGACTTTTTAAAAAAGATTTATTTATTTACACATACAAGAGGTAGGGTGTAGGCCAGAGGTGTGGGGGGTGGGAGGATTCACCAGAGACAAAGTGGGGAACAGAACAGGCAGACTGACGAAGTACACTGCTGAGGGGAGCAGTGGGCGAGACAGGAGAGGTCTGCTACGCCATGTGGGTAGCTCTCTGGCTGGGATCGAACTTGTGTTGCAGTGACTGCAGATTGCTTCATAGTGCTGAGACTTAACCCCTTGCACCATGAGGGAGGCCCCCAAATGGACTTTTAAGGAAAAAAAATGAGATATTTGAGTCATTGAAAAAGGGATCTGGACCTAATTCGAAAGTGTGCTTGTGTGTATGTGTGGGGGGAGGGTGTCATCAAGCAATGCTCTGGACAGCAGATGGGTGGTGTCTTACATGACATTCGACTCAATTTGAATGCTAAGTAGCATCATATTCCACAGGGTAAGGGCTCAGCCCTACAAGAATGTCCCATACCTGTATTCTACTTCAGATGCCAGTGGCAAGCCCAGATTGTCACTTGTACTTCTGACTAATGAGCTATAGAGTGGAGGTGCCAGTGACCCTCACCTTGACTGCAGATGTCAGTCCAAAGTCCAGGTTATCTTTACTTTCTGACCAATTGGGTATGATCAGAGTTTCTCAAGAACTAATGGCCCCCCGCCCCCAGGTATAATTAACTGGTTAAAATGGCTCATAGGATTCAGAGAAACATTTCCTTACTAGATTACTGGCTTATAATAAAAAATATAATTCAGGATACCAACTAGATGGAAGAGATGCAAAGAAAAATTAAGGGGAAGGGCACAGAGTGTCCATGCTCTTTGGCTATGCCACTGTCCCCAAATTTCCTCATATCCACCCACCTGAAACCTCTCTGGGTCCCATCCTTTTGGATTTTTATGGTGGTTTCATCACATAGGCTTGATTAAGTAAATCACTGGCCATCAGTGATTGAATTCAGTCTCTAGTCCCTCTTCCCTACCTGGACCACATGACTCCCCAGACCCTGTCCTTGACCCCCCCAGACTCTGTCCTTGGGTGTGGTCTGAGTCACCTCATTAACATAACAACACCTTTATAGCTCCCAAGGTCTAGGAAATTCCCTGGGATTCAGGGGCTCCTTCCAGAAACTGGAAGACGATCTTGTATATATTTCTTATTAAAAATCAGATTATCGGGCTTCCCTGGTGGTGCAAGGGGTTAAGGCACAACCTATACAGCTGTCGGCAACCTCTGCAGCATGAGTTTGATCCCCTGCTGGCCAGGGAGCAACCCACATGGTGCAGCAGACCTCTCCTGACTTTCCCACTGCTCCCCTCAGCAGTGTATTTCAGTCGATCTGTGTGTTCTGTTCCCCACTCTGTCTCTGGTGAATCCTCTCACCCCCTGCACCTCTGGCCTGTACCCCAGCTCTTATACACATAAATAAATAAATCTTCAAAAAAAATCACATTATCACACCATTACACAAGTCAATGCAAAAATAGTGCCCAGTCATGAACGGAAATAATGATTTGCTGGCAGTATTTCATAGCCCAGTCTCTAAGCTACTGCTGCCAATAAGAACATAGAGGGAGAGGTTATTAAAAAATAACACTTTTGTTGTTTCAGTAGCCATTTTCATAATCACCCACAATAAAATTATATTGTTAAGTAGACTCAATCAATATTACACCAATAAACTGAACATTAGAAAAAGGGAAGTGGTTGACTCTACCTGCAGCTGATTGCTGAGGAGGCCGTTCCGCTTGCTCTGCATGTAAGCATTTGCACTTCCGCTTTTGGCTGCCCGGATCCTGGCCAGTCTGGCTTTCTAGAGAAGAAATATGAATGTCCTGTTAATACTTACAATTGTTTTCTTGAAACACTGAATGCACTCTTGTATAATCCTAATGTCAGAGTATTTAATTTTAATAGTATGGGGACCTTTCACAAGTAACACCTGAACATTAAATTTTCACCATTGTGCTTTATTTTCTACCTTGGAACTGGGTTATGCATTTAAGAATTGTAATGAAATCTTTATGTCATATCAAATTATTTCATTATTGTTTCTGTTTATTGTGTTCAGAGAAACATAGCAGTATGACTTATATTTTCACTTGTCCCAATCTGAGTAACTTAAAGAAATGAAGACCCAGCAAACAAGCTGCCAAGTCCTTTACATTTAAACTAATATTCTTTTAAAAATTGGTAATTAAGTTCTAGGAACAAATTCTCCTCCCTTCTCTACCCCCTTTCAATCTTGTCTTTCCTTCCTTCATCCCTTCTTCCCCTTTAAAAAAAAATATTCAGCTGTATCTGCACCTTCAAATGTCAATTTTAGTTTTGCAATCAGTTTTTGTGGAATTGGACAGAGCACCCTGTGCTTGCCAACATGGACTCTAAAATTTCACGAAATTTGTTCACTTTTGTTCACTTTGCCTGGCATAAGTCCATACCACAGGGTGCTCAACTAATTTCTCTTTCTTTCTTGAATTTGTTGATATGAAGAACCCAGTGAGTCACTCCAAAGTGATATATAGCTCTACTTTTAATTTTTAAACCATTTATGCATATAGAATGTTCTTCAGTTAAAAGAGGTTACAGTGATATCACCAATAGTTACAGTGGTATCACCAAAATAACATTAGTGAGGGACTCCACTGTTAAAACAGATATATGGTATTCCATTACCTTTACAACTGGTGTTGTCTACCTGCCCCAGGCTGCCATGGAGTGAGTGGAGAAGACTATGCAGATGCCCATTCTTTTTGTTTCTTTTTTTTTTTTTTTAAGATTTATTTATTTTTATACAAGAGCTGGGGTAGGCCAGAGGCGCAGGAGGGTGAGAGGATTCACCAGAGACAGAGCAGGGAGCAGAACAGGCAGACGACAGAAATACACTGCTGAGGGGAGCAGCAGGCGTGACAGGAGAGGTCTGCCGTGCCATGTGGGATTCTCTCCGGCCGGCTGGGATTGAACCTGCACTGCCTTGGCTGTGGACAGCTTCACAGCGCAGCGCTCAACCCGCTGCACCACTGGGGAGGCCCCTGCCCATTCTTTTTGGATGATGTTTATCTAACAAGGATTTGTAAGGAAACAAGTAGGACAGCTAGGATAAGAATTGCCTTGTAAAATTATAGAAGGACACCTTCTTTCTCCTTTCCAAACAATGCATGTAAAGACTATTTTCAGTATCTAATGCTGGAATGTTCTTTTTAAATAAAATTTTTAAGAATTTATTTTTAAAATAGAAAATAAATGGATACTTATTTCAAAAGTGGATGAAAAACAAGTACATCTCTCTGTACGTTGGGGGGGCTGCCTCTCCTCCTACTCTTTAGTGTCAACCCCTGGTAACATTTCTAGAGGATCTTACCAGAAATTGCTAGGTAAATATTTTTACTCAGAAGAATATACCTCATTCCTCCGCACCCAGCTGCTATCATTTATTGCAGGTGAAACTCCTTCCATATTTACATATATAGAGCCATTTCATTTGTTTATGGATGTACAATATATCACTGATTGTGTGAACCATCATTTATTTAGTCAGACAACTATAATTACTTTTTTTAATTTTTAAATAAAAGAACTTTTAATAGTTTGACTAGCTGGCCCTGCTGACATTAACGACGTAAGCAAGGTTAGAAGCTAAGATGGCTGGGAGAGTCAAATAGAAAATACATCTTGGTGATAAAACTGTACACACATGAATAGGGAGAATTCCCATCAGCAGAATTACTGTGTGAAAGGGTTCATGCTTTTGCAAGTTTGACAGATGTCACCAACTGCCTTCCAAGCAGGTCACATTGATTTACACTTCCACAAAAATCTTTGTAATGTATATGGTTCTTTCTTGGTTAATTTGCCCTTTCATATCATTTCATTTCTCTATTGTGCAATTAATCTTGCAAATCATCTTTTTTGGCCTGCTTTGAACATCATTATAAATTTAGCTTCCAGATGAATTTCTAGAAGCAGAGGTATTCCTGGTTCAAAGAATATACATATGTGTATTTTGTTTTATAGGTTCTGCCAAAATTCTCTTCAAATTTGTATCAAGATGATCTTTTACTCACAGCATTTGAAAGCAGGTTTGAGAGTAGCACTGGGATGTGTGAAACTCTGAAAATAACATTAAAGTATCATTTGACTTCAGCTTCACCTTTTCTCTTCACCTCCGTGAATTTATTCTTCCTGTATGCTGATTCCAGGTTGAGACAATAGTTTGTACAAATTTCATATTTATAAGTAATGGGAAAATAGACAATTTTCACTTTTTATTGGCAGTACGATATTTAAATCACTCAAAATACTGAGACAATACTAAAGAATAAAGTTGTAAGGTAGAAAATATTTAACTTTAACAGCTGTTACATAACCAGGATTTCAGGCCAGACTCAATAAGGAAATGGCAAGTGGCAAGCACATTTGGAAATGACCTAGAATTGATGTAATAATTTAGAAATAACTTATTTAAATATGCATTTGGTTTCCAGAAAGAGGTGGCTATTGCAATTTAGTCCTAAAGTTTCATTGGCCTCCTGGAACATTCAATACCTTTTATGGTTTCCTTTCCTTCCTGCCCCATCCCTTCTCTCCTACCCCGCTTCCTCCCCACATCTCCACCTTCTTTCTTTCATTTTGTAATCACTGAGTGTAATTATATTGGCTATATCACAGTCACTTCTCTCACTTATATCATTCACTAAGCATTTAGCAGCAGTATTAGGACACATTATTTTCTTTCAGAAATGAGGCGTACTCATTAACCAAAAGCACTATCCAGCAAAAGGAAATGACACATATTTCTCATAATGGAAAGTCTACATATGGTGGCAACTACTACCACAGAAGCAGTTCAAAGCTCATAGAAAAAGAAGCCATAGTTTTAGAGGCAGAATAGCCATTTTGCTAAATCACATGCTGTGTTAGAAAAAGAACCTCCCATCTCAATTTCAGTCGTGACTATTTTCTTTCATTTTATTACAATCCTATATGAGTTAATTGCTTTAATTGGTCTTGTGGAGCACCATACCAAATGTCTGTTGAATGCTAGCCTTTATGACCTATGATTACATTGTTGCTTCCAATAGGTAATTGAGGGATTTTTTTACAAAGGTATTTTAGAAAATCATTTCAGTTCATTTTTGACCCACTCAGTATGACAATCTTGGCAACTCTGGCTGTGCAGTTGGAAGGTTAAGAAAATACCTTCCATTGGTAACAAGAAATATATTTCCCACCCTCAACCCTGTAGAAAATACAACTTCTTGGCATGGCAAATATGGAAATTAGAGTAAGCTTTCAATAATAACTTTACCTTAGCCTATGTGGAAAGTAGAAGGTTTCCAAATTTCTAATTAAAATGTTTTATAATGTTACTGTACAAAAATAGCTTAGGTGTTATTTTCAATTCCTTTATCTGCCTTAAGAAATACTAATTGTGTTTGTCTCATAAGAACATTTTCCCTATGCATAATATTTCATAAATTGTTTTTTAAAAAGTTGCTCTAAACTCATTACAGTTTTTAAAAGTTGGCTCCAAGGAACTAGTAAGTATGAGGGATAAAGTCCAAACCAATCAAAGCAAATGAACAACTGGTCTTATGGTCAAGAAAATTTTTGGAAATACTAAGGATTAAACACTTTGCTTGGCTGTTGGAGTCTTCATAATATATTGTGTTTTGGATTTTTTCTGTAAGGATGAAAGGAAGAATATAGTATGCAATTTTTCTCAAACTAATTTGACAAGGAACCCTTTAGTGCAGAACATTCAGAGGTTAGTATGCAGTGGTTTTCACTGGATTGTTTTTTAATTGTATGAAATTATATGAACTGTACAATGTATTTTCTGAAACAGAGGTTGGGGAATCAATCAAAGAAAGATGTCTAAGCCAAAAATCATAGAAATAGCAATTTCTTTAAAAAGGACCTATCTTCTAAATGAGGTCCTAAATTAAGAGAAGTTATTAGATCATCTTCTTACCAAGTCAAAAATTAAGTATCCTAGGCAACCTTAAAGTGAGGTAAAGAAAGCCTCTCTTCTTTGTAGTCTGAGATAATTCCCTATCCCAAAATATCAGCCCTTAGACTTGGCTGTGTCACTTATTCTAGAAATTTTGTTTCTTTCATTTTAGGGTTAGAAGAATACTTCATGTAGAGGCAGGATATTAAGTTTTATTAGCTTTTAAAACTTAAGGAATTTATGGCAAGCTTTCCATTTATTTAGGAAAATAGCTTCCCTAGAAATGAAATAAGTTGTTGCCATAGAATAACTTATCTATGGGAGATAGTACTTATCAGTGGGAGATAGTACTAGATCCCCAGCTATAAAGCTTGGTTAATCCTGTAGGTGGCAAGGCTGAGTAGAAACAGTGCTGGGGTTTGGGTGGAAGAAGCGCTGGAAAGGTGAGTGGGATGGATTAAGAGGACAACAAGAGGATCCAGTTATATGAATAAATGAATAAAAGCATGAATGAGAGTACTAGGGAAAACTGGAAGAAGATGTAGGAAGATACAAAACACAGACTTATGAGTCCCAATATTCTTTTATTCATGATACAAATATTAAGTGACTATTTCCATTCTGGGTACTTCTCTCAGTACAATGGAGGAACATTGTTATATATATTATAATATCGTGTGACACATGCAAATATGCATGATGTTGTGCCTGAAGAGAAGGAGCAACTAATGGTGTCCACACCATTCAGAAAAGTTTTCATAGAATGGGTGATAGATATTTGAGTTAAGTCCTGAACTCTGAGTAGGAGCTGGCCAGGTAACTACATCAGGCAATAAAGGATGGAAAGTAGATTTAAGAGCAAAGGTAGGTAATTCAATAAGGCTGAAAATTAGGAAGATATGGAAATGTATGTAATCTCAGATTTCTACATGTTGATACGATAATACAGACAAATGAGAAATACAAGTAAAAAAACCTTAAGTTATCACGGAGATTTGAGGTAGGGACTGGGTGATATTTTTAAATAGCAGACAATCTAAGAGAGGTTGTTTCTTAGGGCTTAATAAGGAGTTATTTCTAGCCTTTTTATTATTCAAGAATTCTGTATAAAAAATTATTTGATTTGAACATAGTTTGATTTGGAATAGTTCTCAGTGTGGTCCCCAGTTCAACAGTATTATCACCAGTTGGTAACTTGTTAGAAATACAAATTTTCATGTTCTAAACCCAAATTAAAGAATCAGATACTTTGGTCATAGAATCCAGCAATGTGGAATTTAACACATTCTTCAGCTAGTTCCAATAAATCAAAAGTTTGAGAACCACCATGGTAGAAAATGATAAATAACCGATTACATATTGGTAACACTGTTTGTGTTAACACCAACATCTTTATGTGAAAAATTTAAAAATTTACTTATACATTGGTTGTACACTGGCTAATTACTATGAAACTTCTCACTTTTTTTAAAGATTTATTTATTTATTCATATAAGAACTGGGGTACAGACCAGACATGCGTGCGTGCGTGTGTGTGTGTGTGTGTGTGTGTGTGAGAGAGAGAGAGAGAGAGAGAGAGAGAGAGGCAGACTGACTGAAATACATTGCTATGGGGAACAGTGGTGAGGCAGGAGAGGTCTGTTATGCCACTTAGGTAGCTCCCTGGCTGGCCTGGCTCCCTGGCTGGCTGGCCTGCTGTGCTTAACCCCTTGTACCAACAGGGAGGCCTGAAACTTCTTACTTAATAATGTCAGAATTTGTCTTAGATTTGAACCAATAGGTATATAAATGTGAGCAAGTATCTGTAAAATGGAAATAATAACACCTTTGCAAATTGATTGTGAAAATATAAATAATAGACATAAAACACCAGGGACATACTAGAAACTCTAAAGAGGATTGTTGTTGCTATTAGTATAATCAAATTATAATTACTATTACTATTACACACGACAATTACTCACAAGTTAGCCTTGTAAGTATACACATGATTAAGTGATCTGACTTATATTTTAAAACAGGGTAACTCCCAGGTTCAAAATATTAACTTCACCACCTACCATTGATCAGTATAGCTTTATTTGGGCCAATACATTCTTTTCATAAATATTTATTGAATGGCTCATTGAATAAGTAAATCTATTAATATACAATTACAAGTGGTGGCAGTTGGGGGGTGAGAGATATTCTGGTTTAAGTGTATATTAACTGACACATCAATTTATCAAGTATGGATAGAAACGGGGTAAATGATAGATTCCTTTTAAAGGGAGGGAGCAGGGGCCTCCCTGGTGGCACAATGGGTTAAGCACCGCACTATGAAGCAATCTGCAGCCTCTGTAGCACAAGTTCGATCCCTGGAGTTTTATCCCAGGCCAGCCAGTGAGCAGCCCACATGGTGCAGAAGACCTCTCTTGGCTCACCCATTGCTCCCCCCAGCAGTGTACTTACATTGATCTGCCTGTTCTGTTCCTTGCTGTCTCTGGTGAATCCTCTCACACCCCCCACTTCCCATCTCTGGCCTGTGCCCCAGCTCTTGTATGCGTAAGTAGATAAATCTTTAAAAAAAAATAAAGGGAGGGAACAGCTAGTGAAAACAGGAAGAACGCTTGCTAGGGAGATGAGCTAGAAGAAAGAAAATATCCCTGAGTGATACTGGGAATGTTCTCAAGTGCATGCATATATATATATATATATATATATATATTTTATATCATGCTTTTGCTTGAGTTCAGTTGGCAAAGGGACAGAACAAAAAACTCTGGTATAAAACATTTTGGTATATTACTTACTGTTCAGTTTGACTGGTGTTTCTACTGCATGGACTGCTTGACTAAATTAGTTGTGATTTGCATAATTTTGATATTTGTCAAATCACTTAGGTCCAGACAAATTTAAACTCTTTTACTAGTGTGTGTTCATGCTGTCTTATTTTTTTAATTTCCTGGGAAAGAAATTAGGAAATATCCTTTGATAACTTATTTTATTCCATCTCCACTGTTCTTTTAAAATGACTTGTTCCGTTTAATGGTTACAGACTACTTACTAGACATACCACATTAGGCTATTATCTTCTGCTTTATTGAGCCAATTTTTTTAACAGTCATGATATGCATTATGGCAGAAACTTAGGAGATATTTCCAAGATACCAAAAAGCATTCATAAAACATACTTTTTCACTTACTGTACTTTTTAAGATCACATTTATTTACTTTTGCATTCTAAATCTATTTAACCAAAAAGGCTCTAAAAACATTCTAAGGTTTTATTTATTGATTTGCTTGTTGCAGATGACAAAGTTTGAAAATACATATATTTGAAAAATTGTTTTATTTGAAAATCAAATTTATACTTTTTACAGTTTTCATATTGGTAGCTCTTTTTTTGGTATTGAGAAAAAGAATTATAGGTAACTCAATTTAGAGAAGAACTTTCTAGAATCTAGATGGATGGCTGTTAGGGAGCTAAGATTTTTGTAGGATTTCTATTATTTTAAACAGTGTACAAGTTTGCCCAGTGGAGGGATTGTAAATATGTGGGCAGAGCCATAGTTGTGGTAAGTCCCTCATGGAGGGACCAGATGTGGCCAAAATTCCTCCATCAATACTTGCCAGAGGTGTGTCCAGCATGAGGCTGCAACTACTCAGAGACCGCCTTTTCCTAACCCTTTCTTTATTAGTTATCAATGCTGTATATTAGATCACCATGCTAATTGGGATATTTAATACCATGCTCTACAATAATTAGTACAATAATTAGTTTAAACAATTGCCCCAGAATGGGAGATTCTCTAAAGCAACAAACAACATGACTGAAAGAGCAGTGTATTGCTTAAAAAAGAGGCCCTTTGGGCTTCCCTGGTGGCGCAGTGGTTGAGCACCGCTCTGCACTGCGAACCTGTCCGCAGCCTCTGCAGCGCTGGCTCAATTCCCCACCGGCCAGAGAGAACTCCACATGGCGCGCAGACCTCTCCTGCCTTGCCTGCTGCTCCCCTCAGCAGTGTCTTCGCTCCGTCTGCCTGTTCTGCTCCCGGCTCTGGCTCTGGTGAATTCTCTTACCCTCCCACACTTCTGACCTGTACCCCAGTTCTTGTATAAAATAAATAAATAATTTTTTTTTTTTTTAAAAGAGGCTCTTTGACAGTGGACATGAACAAGTTCTCTGGACACTATGTTGTGTAAACAAACATATTTGAACTTTGCAAAGAGTTTCTTTATGAGACTGTATACTTTACTAAAGAGAATGAATGAAGTTGTTCAAACACACTTAAAATCCTGTTCTTGAATTATCTACAAAGACAGTTATTAGCTACTGCAAATTCTTTCATGATGTTTTATAGTTATACCACATTACCCAGATTGGGCATCCACTTTAGTCAAGATTATGAATGGCTTTTGCATAGTTAAAAATAATTCCATTTTTTAAGAACGAGATACAGTGTCCATGAAGAATACCAGAAACTTACACCAGAGTCCGGAAGAAACTACCAAAGAGAACTTCAAAATTATTTTTAAACAAGGACCCTGACTCTCAAGGGGACTATGTTGACAAAGAATAGGGAGGGAAGCACACTAACAGTTTTTCTGAGAGGTAATTTGTCATAATTTTTATGTCTATGAGGTTTGGAGCCAGATTAGCCTGGATTACTTGATGGTTCTTCAGTATATTAGGGATATAACCTAGAATTTCTCAATTTCTGGATAGGTTAGGATTCTCATCTCCCCAATAGGAACTATTAAAAGCAACTAATTTACAGATTTGTTGTGAGAACTCTGTGAATTTCTTTTTGAAAAACATTAAACTAGTACCCAGCTATCAGTAAATGGCAATTATTATTATATATATACATAAATATATATACCTTTATATAGATTTATGTACATTTGCACATAATCTTATTGTGAGGTATCATTTCCCCCATTTTACAGCTGAGTATATGAACCTTGTTTACTCTTAGAGGGATTAATTAACTGGTGAGAAGTAGTAAAATGCTTGGCCAGGAATAACACTCAGCTACAAATGATCATACTGTCCTACTTCCGTGTCCACTCTGTACTACATCAGAGACACATTTCAGTACCATTCAATAGTCCTTATTTACTGGAACTGTCTTGACCCCTAATGGACACAGACATGAAATGCATCAGACCCAAAAATCCAACTCTAATAAAATTTGCCAAGGACTTATCTTTGATTTTACTATTTGTCTTTAGGGCTGTTGGCCTGATCTTTCTTTCTGCCTATGGTTTCAATGTAATATTGTACTCCCTGCTCACTTTGAAGTTACACATGGTTATGTGACTTGCTTGGACTAATGCAAGAGAAATGGAAGTGACTTGGCCCACCTCCAGGAGGAGGCTTTAGGCATCAGCGTGTGATTCATCATGTTTTTTTAGCCCTGCTTGAATGATTGCAGAAGTGCACTGTCAAGATGGCATTTCTATCGCAGGACCGGTAATGGACCTGTAGCCTGATTGTACAGCAATTGAGAAATATCCCTTGTTGTCTTAAGCCACTGAGATATTAAACCTCTTTTTTTTTTTTCCCCTATAGTATAACCTATCTGGTGCTGACCAATGCAACTATCGACCAAATCCGGAACACTGAATGGCCAGTAAGGGATTTTCAAACTCATTATAAAAAGTGGGAGAGGCTAAATCACGGCCGCAGAGAGCTGAATACACACCTTTTGTGCCCTCCGTTTGTCTGCTCGTTGATTTTGGTGATAGATCCGACTGAAGTTGGATACAATTACTGGAACAGGCAGAGCAATAACCAAAACTCCACTCAGCGAACAGATGGAACCAAAAATCTTCCCTGCTATGGTTTTGGGGACCATGTCACCATACCTGGGTCAGAGGGAAAAAAAAATGCTGTTTTAAGTCATGGTAAGTTATTTCTACCTACTCCACATAGTTTTTTTGCTTTTTGTCAATTTTTTTTTTTTTTAATGATCAACCTAATACTACTTCATGACTATAATCTACATGGCTTAAGATTTTCATGAGCCAGCTATAATAAACATCTGAATACAAAAAATTACCTTTCAACCTTGCAGAAGTTGATTCTAACATTTAGAAATCTCTTTGATTGGAAAATATTTTAAGCCAGATGATGTAATGGTAATTCTTTAGTTTATCCTTTATATAATATGGCATGTTCCTTATATTTATTTAATAGTCAATATATCCATGCTGAATTTTATGCACTTACTTTTGCACATCTTTTTCAACACTGAGTTGGTTATGAAATTTAAGTAGAAAGAGTGGTATATCACATTCCTTTCATCAGATATAATCACTTAATAAACTTCCAAGGTCTCATTAACCTTCACTTGTGAAATTAAATGGCATTTCTCCATGATAATCTTACTCAATCTCTCATTTGTATTTGACCCATTGACTTCTCTCCTGGAAACCTTTCTATTGGCTTCAGTATTAGAAAATCCCCCTAGTGGTCCTACCTCGTTTGCTGTTCCTTCTCCATTTCCTTTTCTGACTTCTTCCCTTATCTGATTTCTAAATTTTGAAGTAAATTAGGTTCAGACTTGTCTTATCTGCTTTATAAAAACCCTCTTCCTATGTGATTCCATACAACCCCATAGCTTAAAACTATCTAAATGTTGCTGATAACCTAATTTATATCGACAGCCCTGGTGTCTTGAAATCAGACTTGAAAATCAGACTCATATCTTCAATCGTTTGATATGATTATTTCTACCCCTGGATGTTTAAGTGCTAATTAAGACTTAAATTAGCCAAAAAGGAATTCTTGTTTCCCTGGTTTCCTCTGGCCCACTCAAATCTGCTCCTCCCACAGTCTAACAACTCTAATTAAATGGAACCACAAACCACTCAGTTGCTCATATCAGAATGAAAGAGCCACCCCAGTCCCCAGTCGATGCATTTCAGCTCTCAGCTAGTCTGGTGGTCTCTGACCAAAACAAGTTACTTTCTCAAACTGATGTCTCTTTCCTCAAATTCCAGACCAGAGTGAGCCCGGCCAGCCCCATCTCTTCCCAGAGTCACAAATACAACTTCCTACCTGAACTCTTTTTTCCACATTTACTATTTTATAATTCATGCCAACAGAGCAGCCAGAGTTACAGTTTTAAAAATGGAGATTGGCTGTTGCTACTTTGCTTAAACCTTCTAATAGACTTGACACTGAAATAAATGCAAACGCCTCACGTTAGTCTCTAAGGGCCTATATCACTTAATTCCTGCCTATATTTCACACCATCTTCCAGCAAGCTCCCTGTCCTCCAGCCACACTGGCCATCTGGCTTTCTGTCACAAGTGCAGACCCGTATCATTATTATTCAGGTGAAGACTTAAATGTCTCCATTCCAGAAAATAACGATCCCATGTTATTTTCCAGTCACCACATCTAGAGTGGTTTTATTTTCTCCCCTAGTTATTATCCATAATGTTTTTCCATGTGATTATTTTAGTCATGATCCCATGATGTTTTCTTATTTATTAATATGCTTATTTTTAAGAACCCCCTACCATGCCCTGGTGAACATGACTATAAACTTGAAAAAGCAAGACTTGCTCAATTTCATGTCTCACCAGCACAAAGCAGGCTGTTAATAAGCATTAGGTGAATGAATATCCTCTCTCTTACTGATAATAGAGCTCTTCCAAGAATTTACTCTTGGTGGGAGGGGAGCAAGGAGGAGGGCCTTTTGATCATATTGCAAAAGTTGCCCAATTGCTTCTGCAGAACTTCAACTACTTCCTGCTCACTTTGGGGTTCTGGGGAGCTTAGTGCTCTGAGAGTTTAGCCCTTAGTAACAGCTCAGAGCAGCTCAGGTGTTAGATTCAGGATCAGGGGGGATTAGAAGTGTTTGGGACTACCTTGTATTTTGAAGAGCTGCCTCTAATTAGAGAAGATGATTCCTCTAAATCACATTATTGTGTGAAAACATTTGTCAACATGGAGATTGGGTTTGTGAAGGTGCAACAGAAGCCTGGAGAGTGACTGGGGAGTACACTGACATAGCATTTGGTGACCCCCATCCCAGGCTCTGGTTTTGTGCTCTGAATGTCCAGTTACTCATTCCTGTCAGTGCTTGTGAATGAACAACAAATTGAGCTCATTGGGCATAACTAAACTTCAATTCACCAGAACTAAAATTCCCACACTGTTTTAGTGTCTCTAGTGCCAGCATGCACAGGGCAGGTTCGCTAGCGATTTGGGCAGATGGATAGCACCCTTGGTGAGTTTTTCAGGCTTTAATGCTTTCTCAGGATACACAGTCACACCAGGCAGGGAGGCTGGCATGCAAGGAGGCAGGCAGGCAACCGCGCCTCCCAGGCCTCCACAAATCTCTGCCTTTCTCTGGGTGCTCTCTCTCTCTCATCTTGTGGCCTCGCCTCTTCTGTAGTCACGCCACTCATCCCCCACTGCCTTGCTTTTATCCCCATCTCTAGGCTCAGTTACACACTAACACATGTGTACACCCATACTTCAAGTGCCCACAGTCAGACACGAGTTCCCCGCGCCCATGCTGCATTCAGAGGAAAAAGGGTCTCTGCAATCCATCTGGGTAGTTAAAGAATAATCTAAAGACTGTTAGTGAGGAAACAGTCAAAACTAGAGGAATTCACAAGACAAGCAAGAAAGGCCAGAGGATTTTCTTTCCATAGGGGTATGTCAGTGGACTTGGAAGATCAACTTTTTTATGCAATGTTTGGTGTACAAGAGCCAGTTTCTGTTTGCCACTGTTCACATTGAGTGCCTGGCTATATTTTATGAACATCTTCTTTCCTTTTGCACTGATGGTACAGTAAACCCTGGAGAAGTCTCAAATACACATATCCCCCCATATGCAAGCAGCTTCTCAGGAAAGGGATTTGATTTTAATGTCTACCAATTCAGAACTAGAAAGTAAATAAAACTCAATTTATTTTTTATGGTCAGAGAGGAGAAGCATTGAGTCCATGTAATCAAAATAAACTTTGAAATATATAAGTACATAAAAAGAAATAGCTAAATAAATCTATTAGATAGTTTTTCTTGCCTCTAAGAAATTTAAAAAAATTAGTATTTATTAACTACTTTTTGCATTCTAGGCTAAGTCATAGAGTATGCAGAGCCTACATGGTTGTAATTATTAGAGAAAATTAAGGGCTGAGCTGTGTGGTATGGACCCAACACTCAGTCAGAGCTGAAGAGACAGAAGATTGCTCTGAGAGTTTAGCTCTTAGTAACAGCTCAGAGCAGCTCAGGTGTTAGATTCAGGATCAGGGGGGGCTTAGAAGCCCCCAGACCACTTCAAACACATAGCAAACAGCAAAAGAGTATTATGTACCTAAGGAATTCTATTTCTCTGGAACTTACTGGAAGAAAGGTTGAGAAAAGTAGCTTTATAATGCGAAGTGACATGTATCATGGCTAAGTACTGCCTAAAATCTTTTAATGATTACTTCTATCCTAAGCAATTTGTCACTTGGTATTTTATAGTTCATGTAAAAACACACCTCACTTTTTCTGACTCATTCTTAAAATTATGCTAAACCTAACAACACTATATATTATATTTTCTGTTTTTGTTCAGAATTTAATAGTATGTCTGTTTTCTCAAAAGTTACCCCAAAACACTATGTAAATGTGGTTATGTTTTCATAGATACTTATTTCTATACTGTAGTGGTCAAGTTAGATAAATATTGAGTTCTTAAAAGAAAGAAGAAACAGGAGAAAGGATAGCATAACACAAGAATAATTTCCAAGATGTTTTACATAATAGAATTGAACTTTGCTAATTGAAAGGGAGCCTTCCCTATGTTTATTCTTTGACTTTTCTCTGCTTCTAAATTTTCCTTCTTTCTGTTACATTCACCGTGTAGATCCACTCCAGTTTCATTCTGTTCTCTTCACACTGGACATCTGCCAAGCCTTATGTTTACTGCTCCCTTTCCTCCTCACATCAGTTAAAAAGGTACACTATGGAGGTGTCATTCACATAAAAAGTTAATTATAAATTTGCACATACTTCCTCAAAATAGTTGGTTAAAATTACATCTTTTGCCATATGTTAAAGATCATATTGAGTGGAATGCCAATTCCTTAGAAGAAATCCAACTGTTAGCTCTTGAAGATTTTAATCCCAGATATCAACCAAAAGTTTCATACAAAGCACTTCATTTCTGGCATATACCCAATGTCAAAGGTGGATAATTCTGGCGAATATAGACAAGTGAGAATGAATATACCTCCAATCTCTTATCTACATATGTATGTATCCATCAATCTATCTACCTATCTCTCTCCATCCATCTTCCTAGCTCATGAGGTAGTATGAAAATAGGTTTGAAAGTATGCCAAATTTTATAATGTAATACATAGTAAACCAAATTTTAATAGTATCTACTCATCTTTCTTTTTTTAACATTTCTCCAGAAATCATAATAGCATGACTAGATCTCAAATGGAGAAATATTTCTTAGAATTTTTTCTTACAATAGTGTTTGAACACTATTGTAAGTGTTCCCAGTTCTATTCAGATAGTTTCTTATTTTCTTCTCTTTTTTTTTTTTTTGTGAAGAATATAAATGAAGGCTCATTTAATAAAGGAGACATGTTACATGAAGCAAATGTCCCCCAGCTAAGATGTGAATTGCTTTCTATGAAACTATTTCCCATGGATATTAAGAGAGAAAACAACAACATGTATTTTATAAACAATCATGGTGGCAGAAAGGAATGCTGATTTGCAAATAAACTTTGATGCTTACTGTAATTCAATCTCTCACTCTACCTTTTCTTTTTACAATGAAAAAGTCTTAAATTGCTAGGTGTAAGGAACAGTGTGACTGGATACTACACAGCTGTACAAGGACAGTTGTACATTTTCTAGGGCAGGTGCTAGTTCAACAAATACTCTCAACTGCTACATTGATTAGAAAAAAAAAACAAAACACCAACAACTTCATATGGGATATGAATCAATATGCAGGAGTATTGGTATTTGACAAAAAGGTATGTGCTTTGATACATTTGACTGTGTCTCCCCCGAAACGCATCTATTGAAATAATAATGCCCATTGTGATGGTACTTAGAGGTGTGGCCTTGGGATGCAATTAGATCATGAGGATAGAGCCCTCATGAAGGAACCACACAGAGGTCCCTAGCCCCTTACCCAGCTAGGACACATCGAAAAGGGCAATCTATGAACCAGGAAGTGGGCCCTCTCATCAGCCTGGATACCGAATCTGCTGGCGTAGAGATTTTTGATTACATAGACTACAGAACTGTGAGAAATACATTTCTGTTGTTTATCAACTGTCAAGTCTTTGGTATTTTGTTATAGCAGCTCAAACGGACTAAGAAAATATACTTTAAAAATTAGATGAATGTAAGTGATAAGTATAATAATAACTGGGGAAAAGCTTATCAGCTGGATTGTGTGTATGTATGGGTATAATGGAGTGTGTGTGTGTGTGTGTGTGTGTGTGTGTGTGTGTGTACATGGGCTTTAATTACTGATTTTGTGTTTGAATTTTTCTTCTAGACCTGATTGCTAGCAGAGTGTCTAAGAAATAATTTATTCTGACTGAGGTGCAGGATCACTTCTTAACTACTAATAGTTTTACCCCTTAGGGTCTCAATTGTTATGTTATTCATGGATTTTTCTGCCATTACCTTGGTATTCTGGAAGGATCATAGTTTGATGGGTAATTTCTGTAATAGCAGCAACGTTTGCAAATAGCAAATATTTTTCTTTTGAGTGTTGCTATATAACACCTGCTGCTGGAACAGAACTTGTTTGCCAGAGGGGCTGTGGTATTACTTCAACAATAGACAGATCTCTCTTTGACATTTGAAAACCACTGTTTGCCTAAAAAACTGCCTTAGTTTTTTGTGTTCTTCCCTCATGTCTGTAGAAGTAAACACTATATTATCCTAGCTATGCTGAAAATTTGTGAATTCTTTTGGATTATCTCACATATACAGTTTCTATATTCTCTCTGGTTTCTTTAAATCTAAACCAAAATTTGAGCCATGTCTTTTAAAACTGTATTTTCCCCTTTTTCATTTTTCACTGTTCACAATTTCAGTAATTTGAGCATCTACTAAATGAAAGGGGCAACTAAGGGACCTCACGCAAGATTCATGGACTCTTCAGAACTTCATGGATAAAATTCAGCTAATTAAAGGAAATCCATGATAATGTATGACTTCATAGATATTTTCCTGAAAATTTTCAGAGTTTTTATTAAATCACTAAAAGTGGGAAGGCTCAAACAATGTTAAAAAGGGATGATTTGCATATTTACGGGCATACCAATGTCAAGTATTGTCAACATAAATGGTTTGAACAAATATACAAACAAAATGCTGCGGAAATATCAGCATTATTTTACAACTGCAGAAATAACAAGCACCCACTAGGGGGCATAAAAACCTAAAGAAGTTTGGAAACAAACCAGAATCACTTTTGGTTTTCACAAGCTGAGAGGGAGAAAAGCATTTCCAGTAAATTGCCTGTATGATTCCTTATCTTTGCCTACATACATTCAATATTTAGGATATATTTTTGGCATCTTATTCCTCTGAAAATAGTTGAACAGGACAAAACCTCACCAATTTCATAGATTATCTATTTTCAAGGTGTTTTCAAAAAGATGCAGCAAAGAATTCAGACAGCACTGCTTCTTTTAGAAAGAGCAAATTTCTGTAACATGAGATATCACTAAAGCATAATTTTTAAAAAGAAGCCCTAACCCAGAATTTTAGTGTGGAAATTAGGGGAAATTAAAAGACTGGGTTTATTATAGAAAAGAAAAATTGAGGAAAAGACTGAAATGCTTCTAACACATCTACTCATGTTTATACACTAAGCCCTCAACACAGGACTTCAGGGCTAAATATGCTCATCCAGTTGTACCCTTTTCAAAACCAACTCATTTATGTCTCTTTTTTGCTTCTGTTTAGCAATTATGCGATTGAATGAGAGTTTAAGAGTTATAAATCAAACATGATAATGACTTAATACCTTAGCATGTTTTCTATCTAAATGAATATCATCAGTAAGTCTTGATAGTCTAAAGAATGTTTTATTTTCAAAGTATGCTTTTCAGATTTCACATTTGTATCACTTTATTCTTCATTTTTTACAAAATTATGAAAATATATGTATAATTGATTATTGTGAGGCACACTTTAAAAACTGGTAGGAGCAGCTGTGGGGGTGCCGGAACTATTTCCCCAGGCTTTGGGATCCTAGTCTTTGTTGCCAGGAGCTATCCTTTCACCCTCAGTATCTTTGAGTCTGATCATGTCATTACCGCACATAAAAGCCTTCATTGTCTCTATCACCTGCAGGAAAAAATTCCAGTTCCTTAGCATGACATCCACAGCTCGCCATGACTTGGCCACCCCATCTTCCACTGAGCACCCAAACACACCCCACACTTTAATCAAAACAAATAACCCTCTATTACTGGAATGTGCTTCATCCTTCCACTCCTTTATTCCTTTGTGCATATTGTTTTTTCTAGCGTATTCCCCTTTACATAAATCCTTTCGGTAAATTCTTAATTTCCATTGATAAAGTTCAAGCATCACTTCTTAATTTGAAGAACTCCCTGGCTATTTTATCTCTGTCTAATAACAGACAGATTCTCCCTCATCCATGCAGACAGTGCTGCATGCACTAACAGAGTAGAATTAGTTTTTTTACAGGTCTATTTTCCTCCACAGAACTATGAGGTCCATGAGGTCAAGGATCATGTCATCATTATAAACCCAAGTCTAGCACAGTCCTTGTCCAGTGCTGAGCAAATAGTTGGAACCCAATAAATGTTTATTGCTTAAATAAATCCTCCAGGGAGCAGTGTGATGGTAAACAATAAATATGGGAACCAGTGAAGGGGAACTTCTATGCGCTTTCTTTCTTTACCAGATTTCTTCTCCAGCATCATCTCACCTCCTTAATTTGTCTCAATTCCTCTTTGGATACTTAGATGATATGCCCAGAATAACTTAGTTCTACAGTGTCAATTAATCTTATCTTTTATACCCAGAGAAATCATTTTTAACCTAGAGGATTTTGAATGAAGATAGATCATTGGAGGGATTTTACCATTTTCCACTCCATCCCTGTTTTCCATTGCCATGTGCTTGTATCCAGTCAGAATACAAGCCTGCATCCAGTCAGAATTTCAAAATACTAACAACCCAGATTTGACAGATTTTGCAATTCTTCAATATTTATCAATTTGAGTGAATATTAAACTCCTGGTCCTCTGACTCTTACATATCATTGAAATGGTTGGTTCACTTGTTACTCTCTCATCTTCTCACAGATGCTCCTCATCTTAGATTGGGACATTAGCAATTCTTTGAAAATTCTTTTGTTTGGTAACTGTCTTTCTTATCAAGAAACTCTCTGGTTTTGCCCCCGGGATATATTGGGGGAACTGTGTTTGTCTTCCATTAGAGGAAAAGGAAACTCATTAAGCAAATCAAAGTATAGGGAATGTCCCCTCATTTGGCTTTGGGCTGATGACCCTAGTTTCTATAGGTTGCATGTTTTGATTTTGCACCCCAAGGGGTTTCATCTTCAATGGCTGTCAGAACTGCTCTCACACTGGGGGCTTTCTTCAGTGAACCTGCTGCTGTTGCTTCCTGCTCTTCCTGTCCTTTGAAAGGTGGCTGTGTTTGAGGAAGCTCCCTCTGTGCATGCTCCAAGTTACCCCTGATGCACCGCAGGCTGTCACCCATGGAGCCAAATCCCTATGGCATTTCGACAGTTCTATTCATAAATCTGTTTTCTTATAACCAGTCACTGTAACATCACCTGTCTCACTTGCTGACACCACCAAAATTATTCATTGTTTACAATCCATTCAAAGATACCAAAGTGTCTTTGCCAGGGAAAAAGGAGGGGCTGTCCCCAGCGTTCTGCCTTCGGCACCTTCTTAGAGGAGAATTTAGTCAGGAAACTTAAAAGCCAGAAGTGGAGATGTTTCTTTTGCATGTTTTCACTTTTTTCCATCTGAGTTTACACAGTCTAAAACCTATTATAGGCTGCATGACACCCTTAAGATGTCTAACTATTTACCTCTTTCATTTTCTATTGTACTTTTAAAATTATTTATGGACCATCCAGTAATCACCTAACATATCACCTATTTCTAATTCTCCCCAAAAAGACCAGATAATTTTGCCACCTAGCATCTACTTCTTAAATTTTACAAAAAAGAATGTGTCAAAATCTAAGTACTGGAGATTAGACTCACCATTCTACTGGGGTAGGGGATTAGTCTCCTTTTTGGCGGCAGCAGCATCTGAGATGATGGCCCTGCAAATACAAGTCATGTCCCTACTGGTGTGTCTGTTCATGCCCACACTAATTCCAATTCCCAGGTATCTGCTATGGTCAATTTTAGTCTTTTGGGGTTGCTATGGCGGAATACCATAGCCCGAGAGGGAGGCGGAAGGGGACTTATAAACAACAGCAATTTATTTCTCACAGCTTTAAAGACTGGGAAGTTCAAGAAAAGGGCACCAAAGGCATCTGTAAGGACCAGATGTGAGTGAGAGACCCTTGTGGAGGTTAACAATGGCAGCTTTTATCTTGATTTTGATTTTGCTCCTTTTCTCCCAGACTTTTTCTGGCTATTTCTGATCCTTTTCTGGGGGTCCCTGCTGGAAGGTGCTTTAGACTCATGGCAGACTTTCAGGCCTTGCTCTGGGCCAATCCCGTTTGGGTGGACTTTTACCCACGAGGGGATAGGTAACCTTATATGTTTGATTTAGAAATTATATTGTCTTTTCTGTATTGTTCACTAATTGTATTAAAGTTCCTTTCCATCAAATGTTTTACATGTTTTGTCTTGATGTAGCAGATAGTAGAACCTATTTAGAGCAGGCAGGTTTGGGGGTTCTCCCTGCCCTGTAACAGACCCACTTCCTAGTTGACTGGAGTTGTGATACACGGCTGTTGACGGGCCGTCACCTGTGTCTTCACACTGAAGCGAAGGGCCAGGGGGCTCTATAAGACACTAATCCCGGCTATGAGGGCTCCACCCTCATGACCTAAGCACCTCGTAAGAGTCCTACTTCACATTGAACTCTAGGATGTGACATGAATTTTCTAAGGTTTAATAACAAGTCCATGGAGGCGTGGCAGCTCCCACTCAACTGACTACCCTGGCAGGTCCTGGTCTCCTCCCGACCTATTGTGGAGACAATGATCCAGTTTAGAGAGAATCACCACAGGCAGTTTCTCACAAATCGTACATCCTGGTAATGTGCCCGCTTTGTTCAGTTCCCATCTATGCATCCCTCTGCCCAGTCACTGACTATGGACTTCTTCCTGTTAACAATTCCAAAATTCATTAAGCATAA